TTTAGAATACATATTCTCGAATGTTTTTAAAGTACATTTTGATAATTGTTGGACATCGATAATATTGATTTTGGTTGATACGAGCAAACGTTCAGGGCAATTTCTGTTTTTAACTAGTATTAATCCCTATTACTAAGGGTTATCCAAAAGTAGTGACGGAGATTCTTTTTTTTCTTATAGAAAGCTTTAAAACATTTTCTTTTTTTATGAATAGATAGAGCGTCTTTCGCTCTATCTTTCTATGCTATTTGACCACTATTAAACTAATATCATAATAACAAAAATTTCGATAAGAGCTATTTTTGTTGAAAACCAGCTGGTAACATTAAGTTCATAATGTGTGTGGTATTTTTGCATTCCACTTTATTATCACATAATATTTGTATTGAAAAAACAAAATATACCAGAAGATGCAGCGTGAAAAGCTCTATAATTTATAAAGTACCGCTTATTTTATAGTTGTACTTTTTGTTCTAAAAATGGACAAAACTCTGAGTTACCAAGTTTCGACGTGACGAAAACAAGACCCTTTTTTGGTTAAAATACGAATTCGGTCTTTTTCTATCTTATCTTTGTATAGTTGTTCTTTGTAAATTGTAGAGCCCTTCACGCTGCATCTTGCAGTGTATTTTGCTTTTTAAAATAAAACATATCAAGTAATAAAAAGATGAGATAGGAAAAACGGAATTCATCTTTTACCAAAAAAACAATCTTGTTTTCGCAACGTTGAAATTTGACAGCTCAGAGTTTTGTCCATTTTTAGAACAAAAAGTACAACTATAAAATAAGCGGTACTTTATAAATTATAGAGCTTTTCACGCTGCATCTTCTGGTATATTTCGTTTTTTCAATACAAAATATTATGTGATAATAAAGTGGAATGCAAAAATACCACACTCATTATGAACTAAATGTTACCAGCTGGTTTTCAACAAAAATAGCTCTTATCGAAATTTTTGTTATTATGATATTAGTTTAATAGTGGTCAAATAGCATAGAAAGATAGAGCGAAAGACGCTCTCTCTATTCATAAAAAGAGAATTTTTTTTAAGCTTTCTATAAGAAAAAAAGAATCTCCGTCACTACTTTTGGATAACCCTAAATAGAATGTCCTAAAAACTTCAGTCAAAACGGATGCTTTATCATTAAGATACTGGATGATTAAAAAGTGATTATATGCCACAGAAAAGTCAGAAAATTGAATAGTTTTGAAAACTCAATATCTCAAGGATAATGCATCCGTTTTGACTGAAGTTTTTAAGACATTCTAGTAATAATGAAACCTCTTCATGGACAAAATTTCAGGTCAAAATATCCTCGTTTTATTTTTCCATAAATGCCTTGCTTGAAATCGAAAATCCAGTGAAATGGTCATAAGTCGGCATCAACAGCCCATGGGCACGAATTCTTGTAGGCTTTGACTATTGACATTAAGGTCTACTTGTGGACAAAATATGAGCTCGAAATCGAGGAGACACTTCGGGTACCTTCCTCGTCAGTAATTAGTAATGTAACTACCGAGTAATGGTAACATCCCTTCCGTAATAATAAAACTTAACTTATTTTTACGTTAACTGAAACATTCTACCCCTAACCTGGTATTGTCTGTGATCAGTGTTCATGGTTTTTTATGATGTTTTAAAAGGACTACATTACAGGGCCCTATCGATTTGCTCTACTAGAATCTCATCGAGTTCCATGAGCGGGATCCGATTGAATTTACGACATTATGGATCGGGATATCATTTCGTCACCTGGCCTTCAACAATATTTCTACGACATTCATCCGAATCTTATAAAACTCCAATAGAATCTTGTCAGATGTAACTGTTGGATTGATTTTTCTGAGTTAAGCATTTTTCTAGCACTCGAACAAAAATCTTCTTTTGAAAAAAAAAATGTATACACAATCAAACAGGCATGCTACTGATTTGTTTTAAAAACCTTTTATTCACGTATCGGTACGATGTACATTTTCAACAAGCATTCAAACCGGTTTCATTTTTTAATTTATTTCATTTTTGTCCACAAATTTTCTTTGTTTGGTATTCAAATGACGAACTTTTTTCTTGTGAATAAAATTAAATTTTTTGATACAGATTCTAAATATTATAACTTATTATATATAAACATTGTTCGAGTCTAATGTGGTTTGCAATTCAGTCTGCATCATTGTTTATAATTTTCCATTTTATAGAACTTCATTTATTCTTTTACATAATTTGACTGAACCATTAGCAGCAAACTTTGGAAATCGATTGATTATCTTTTTCTGTGACATTCTGTTTTCAGCACCGTGAATATTTCTATTTAATTTACTATTTTTGGTAACATTATAATCAAGAAGGTTTAGTTGGTTAAAACTCATGATGGTATTTTTGATTTTTTTCGGCAGCATGATTACATTCTATGTTGATGATAGTAAGGCATTAATTTATGTTTTGTAAGTAGTGAGATTATATAAAGGTGGCTTATTATTCTTTTCCGCGAATTTGTTTTCATGATAATAAACCAAAATCAACAGTAAAAGGTGCAAAGAAGAATTACATATCACCATATACTTTTCAATAAGAGAAAGCCATTAAGAAAAAAACCAATATGCAACTGTAGTCTTTTATCTGTTGAATTAGTTTTTGATAAAGCCACAAAATTATATGGTTGCTTTTTTTTCATATTATGTAGTGTCTGAGCAAACTAGCAATAGACCATATTATTTTCTTGTGCTATTTTCAATTTAACCGTCCCATTTTATCTACATATATTAGTTCTTGTTCCTACTAAATACTGTTTTCTTGACTGACTCGTTTTTCTTCTTCGTTCTATGTGATACAATCCATGAATCGTCACGAAATAGGACTACAAAGATAGTAATATGTTTGTTTACAGATGCTTCATAGTAATGGTCTATACAATTGATTTTTTTATTGTATAATTTTATACAAAACTAGAAATAAAAGTGTACAATAAAATGATTGTTTTTTTTTTATTGGGGCATGCCAAAATTCATTACGACTCCCTCATATATCTGCCTAAGAAAAGAGCAAAGTATATATTATTTTATGATTCTATTGCGTTTGAAGTTTGTACATGAACTTTTCTAATTGAAATCAAATGAATATGCTACATTTTTTCGGTAGATAACTAACATTCTTAGTTTAATCTAAAATTTTCGGTTAAACTCTATGATACCATTTGATTATTATGATTAGTTACGTTTTTGTTCGAAGATATGATCATGTTAAATTTCGAACTATTTGCTTAGAATATTTATCATCAAGTTTAAAGACGTTGATATTGATACAATCATTTGTCAATATCTCTCTTCGGCACATTCAATTGTTTCTTAACAAATATTGATGTCAAACATAATAAAACATTTTTTTTAAATTGATTTTAATTCTTTATTATTGCTATTATATCATACTCAAATTTTGTGCTCTCTTTTGAATAGCATGAACATGTTATTTAGTAAAGTGTAACTTTAACGACCAAATTACTTTTCGTATGAAAATATACATTCATTTGATGAAAATATAGGTTTTTATATTTATTTATTCATCCCAATCTTTTTTTGACTTTTTCTTTGTTTTTATGCTTTCCGGTCTAATATAAGTTTCACCTAATTCAAATGTTAATTCTTTTGTATTCATTTTTTGATCCAGTTGTTCATGTATGGGTCGAGGTCGACTTATAATATCACCATAGATTTGTGCAAGATGACCAAATTCTTCTACAGTTAATGTTAAACACATTGTATCTGATTTGAGATGAGCACGATGAAGTAATTCTCGTGTATCTTCATCACGAGTTTCTTCATGAAAAAGTGATCTTAAAATAAATTAAAAAATTAAATTAAAAAAAAAACTAACAAAGCAAAACTTACGCCAAGGTGTTTCCTATTTTTTTATTTCGTAAACGAAATGCAGCTCGAGTTACTTTATCTAAAAGATCATAATTAACTTCAACTAATGGTCTTTTTAATGGAATTAATTGAATAACAGCAACATTAACGTTAACTGCTGGAACAAAAGCTCGACCAGAAAATACATGTTTAACATGACAATCAAACCAATTTTGAAAGATAATTGATAAACGACCACGTTGACCCATCAATGCATCTGATACTATTCGACCAGCAACAGCTTCTTGCATACAAATTGTTATGGGTATTCGATAACCAAATGAGAATGGACCTGATCGAGTTGATACTTGTTTTAACCAACGTATAAGAAGTGGTATAGCAATATTAAATGGAAGATTACCAACTAGGTGAATAGGTGAAGTTGATGAAGATTCATCTGATTCCCATGAACCATGTTGACCAGTAATATCATCGGGTATAACAGATTCAATATCAAAATCAAGTATATCACCAAGATAAAGTCGAAGACGAGAATCAACAGCATTAGATAATGTCTTTAAAAAAAAAATTTCATTTCTATTTATTTTTTGTGTCAAACAAAACTTATTTTTATTTACTTGTAATGCAGGAAATAATCGAATATCTTTTTCAATAGCTGCTACTTGTGCTGCTCCATGTTCAAATAATTGTCTTGTTATACCGCCTGGTCCTGGGCCTACTTCAATCACAAATTCTAAATAATCATCGATCAAATTCAATATTTATTATTACCAAAACAAAAAGAGAAAATCAATTTTACCATATATTACCTCTCTATCTACATACTATTTTCAATATTGCCTGTACATGCAACAAATTTGCTGGTAGCACGAGGATCGAGTAAAAAATTTTGTGCAAATCGACGTAAAGCTGGTAATTTATATGTTCGAAGTAAATCGGCTGCACTTGGTGTTGGTGGTAACATCATTTTTGATATATAACCCATGATGATTTTTAGTATCTAGAATTTGCAAAGTCTATTTTTTTTTCTTGTATCATGCATTATATAATTTGTTATTAGACTTTTGATATAATTGAGAAATAAATATAAATGAATTGTAATAAAGAAAAGCAAGAAAAAGAAAAACAATTAGTCAATCTACGAAATAATTTGATTGAGTGATGATGATGATGATGAAGCTGATGAAAGTTTGATCTTACGTTGATAACGAGCAGCTCGAATTGATGTTATTGCTCCAAAGACACTTAATAAAATCATGCAAGCAAACATAGCTGACCAACCGTATTGAACAACAATCCAACCAATAACTGGACCTTCAAGAAACGTACCAATAGAGCCAACACCTATAATAACGAAATAAAAATTAAACATTTAAATTCGAGATATTAATTTGTAAAAGAATAGTTCAATTATTTCTAACTGCATATTGATTGAATCGGTTAGATATATCTTTATCATTTGTCTTTTTAAACTCTATTATCTATAAGTAAAAATATGTAATCAGATACATGTTCGTAATCTTCTATGTTTCGAACATTTATCAGTTAATCATCATTTAGAAAGAAAAAGAAAAAGTCTAAAAACAAATGTTCATAAAAATCATATCAATTCATTTATCTCGTCTCTATTCATGTTGAAAATAGTATTTACTGAATTAAATATCCTTATCAATGATTCAGACTCAAGTACCATCATTTTTTAACGCTTGTATTATTACTTGAGATCTATGTAGTCTATTCGATTTCACTCAATACTTTTTCATTATTAAATCGATTACAAAATCTTCAATAATATCATTCAAGTATATATCAATAGTAAAATTTTTATATTCATTAACTATTAGCACGTTGTCGATATTAATTATATTCAATCATCATAAGAAATGATTGAAATTATACTTCATATTATGACACATATTTAACATCTATCGATCATGCAATATTCAGAACAAAAAAGAAAATCAATATCATTCATCTCATTCCATTGATCAATCATCAATTAAATATTATAAAAAAAACATTGTATTATAAAAATATATTAATCAATAAGCTCAAATGAATAGAGATTATGTTATAAATTTGAATAAAAAAAAAACCCAAAGTATTGATTATTTCTTTATAATACACTATCGTGTGTCTTCAAGTTTGCTTTGTGATTGAATTATGAAGCGTATTATAGAAGGAAAAAAAGAAACTCATAAAGATTTGACACGGTTGTTTTTTACTTCTCAAGGTATCAATGAAGAAATACGTCTTATATATTTTCTTTTTCTTTTTCACTTTTACTTGCTTTCTTTTTATTTTTAATTTAAATCTTTCAAAAGACAACAACAATTATGCATATTACATTCAATCATTTCTTTTTTTTTTCTTTTATATTGGTAAAAGAAAGCAATGTTTGCAATTTTTTCAAATCTAAAATTCATATATATCTATGCATTGAGTATCTTGACTTTTCTGATGTTGTCTCAATTTTCTTGTAGGTTTTTTTTTTTTTTTGTCAAACTTTGCATACCATTGTAAACATCGTCCATAATTAAGTGATCTCTCTCTCTCGCTTTTCCGTGTGTTGTATGGAAGATGATGGTGTTGCAATAAAAAAAAAAAAAAGAAACGAGCGAGAGGCGAGTCAAATATTAGCCGACAGAGGGAGAACTGTTTTATGCTTTGTTCGCATTATCATCTTTTACGTCTTTTTCTCCGACTAGATGTATGCCTTTAGGGCATCTTTCTTTTCTTTTTTTTATTGAACATATCTACCGTCTGTTCGTAGGATTATATATCGGGTCGAACGTTTATATATCCGCGTTCATTCATTTTTCATGATCACCACCATCTGCTCACACCTGCGTCAAAAAAACGTAGTCTTTTTGTCTTTCTCTCTTCTTCTTTTTGTTCGCTCGCTTGCTCATTTAATTGCCGATACGTTTTTCCAGAAACAACATTGCCTAGAAGGCAAATCCCGGAATATCGACTGTGTATGTTGTAAGCGATTGACAACATAAAGAGAGAAATTCTTTCTTTGCATGCACTGCACTTCTTCTTTTGTTTAAACTGGTGTTGGTAGCTGGATGATGTATAATGTAAAAAAGCCGAGAGTGCTGCTCCTTGCTGGTCGGATGAAAGTGATGAAAAAGTGTCGATAGAGAAAGAGAAACGAACAAAAAAAAAATCTTTCAATATCCATATTCTTATTGCTCGTACGTCGCTCTCTTGTTGATAGTATTGGCAGTTACAGAATAGAGTAACAGAGTTGCAATTGTTTGCTATAGCGACTGACTGCAGATGCAGACAGAAGGAGGAAAGAGAGTTTCGTTTCACTATTGCACTCTCGATACTTTTTTTTACAAGCCAACGTGTGCGACGCATATACAAACAGCAAGTGTACTACCACTACTATTGGGAGAGGTACTGTGCATATATACAATTAATTAGAGCACGAAAAGGAAGGTGAGTTGCACGATCAGTGATAAATATGGACATAGGTAGAAAGAAGAATATTCTACTATATATGTCTTTTTGCTTTCTCTCTTCCTTTTCTTTGGCACTAAGCTAATGAACGTTGTCGCTCGATATTTGCGCCCATAACAATGTCGTATATCTCAATGCAAGGAAGAAAAAAAACGAGAAACAGAGAAGGAGAGAGAGAGAGAGAGAGAGAATGATCTATTTGACAAAAAAAAAAGCAGACAGACAGCAGCAATTTATCGTTGACATGCAGTTGACCTATAATCATCGTAAAAAAACGAGGAGAGAGAGAGAGAGAGAGAGAGAAAGAGAAAAACAGAGTAGCGTCCATCATTATCAGCAACTGGGGATCTCCTCTGTTTTTTATTTTTTTTCTATACTAAAAAAAGAAGAGAAAGAACACAAAAGAAATTACTCGTCGGCCCGTTATCATTCAACAGATCGAATTTCGCGCACTCCATTAGAAGGTAGTGTATCCTCTTCGTTACATTTCATGTTTACATTCGTTTCGTAACACACATACGCAAATGTGTGCGAAAGCGCTATTACTACTCGATCGAACAAGAGAGGGATATCTTTATATTTGACATTTGGTCAAAATCGAAGGTTGCTGTTACTCTCTACTTTCCATTGATTTATTTTGTTATCACTATCAATCGAATGCTTACGAACGAGAACGAGAGAAAGGTATTCATTCACATATACATAAATACTCGTCTATCTACTACTTTCTTGCTTGATCTCTCTCTCTCTCTCTCTCTCTCTCTTCTTGCTTTTTTTAATCCCAATACTACTGCTGCCATTCTCGATTCGGGTGTATATCCTTCCTTCTTTTTTTTTCTTTGTATGCTTGTGAACGCACACACACATTTTTCATCTCTCAGTTTTTTTGTTCGTTCTTATGATATACGACGGAAGACGAGGGAAAAAACTGTGTGTATGTGTGTTCACCACTCCAAGATACGAGACGAAGACAGACATAAGGAAAGAAATGGGTAGTCTCTCTCTCTCCCTTTTTTTATGTTTTTCCTGAACTCTATCTCGGGCACACAAAAAAAGATAGACGATGACGACCGACGAGGAAATATGAGGCAGCATCGACTGAGAACAGAAGTGAACGACAACGACGAAAGATGGATATAGAGATATGTGCGAGACGAGAAGTGTTCATCTCTTTCTTTTGCTTCTTCTTTTGTCAACTGGGCGACATATATAAAAAAACCAACGACATAAATGAGGAATAAGACAGAGAGAGAGAGACAAAGAGAGAGAGAGGACGCAAAAATAAGAGAGAAGGATATATCCTTATTCGAGTATGCTAGTGGTGAACTCTAGTTGACATCCACCATATTCGTATATAGCCAGACACAAAAAAGCAGAAACGAGGTAAGTAGCACAAGATGATGATAATCATAATCATAATCATAATCATCGCCACATCACGAGTATCTGTTGAGAAAAAAGAAAAGACATAATCAATATTTATGAGGGTGAGACTTAGTAAATCGTCTGTTCGACATGTTGGTACTAGTAGTCTTGTCTTTCATGTTCATCATCATCATTCAATAGACGTGACACATAAAGATATATATATATATATATATATATATAAATATCTGTATGCCATTGGAATAGTTGAAGAGGAGAAAGAGTAAAAAAAGCCACGAAAGAATTGGATATCTACTAACTTTCGTTTAATATGCAGCACCAGCCGCGTATGCTCGACAAAGTAAGCAGATGGTACGAAAGAATAGAAAAATGTGATGTTTGCGTGTGTCAATTGTGTACGTAGAAAAAAAAACGATGTGAGATGCTAGTAAACGAGAAGAACAAGAATATCAAGCATTAAACAACTGTTTGAATGAGTATTCGAACAATAGAAATCGATTTCAAAGGTCAGTAATAACATTTCATATATATATATATATATGAAGAAAAAAGAAAAAAGATTCATTTCTTTGTATATTAGAGATGTTCTTTTTTTTTTGTCTTATCTATGTTCTTTTCGTATATTGACGTAGGAATAGGGACAAAAGATGAGCTTTATTCGCATGTCTATATCACGCAATTTGTCGTCTTAGGTCTCTTCTTGTTATTCGTTCTTTCTTTATCGTGTATTCGTGCGCACATCCGTCGCTCGTTTAGTAAATACCAGGATGCATATAACGATACTCATATTTGTATGCTCAGGATATCGTGTGCTTTGCTTATGTCTCTTCGACCTCCGTTTATTGTTCATTGTTTGTTCATTGTATTTACTACTATTTCTTTTTCTAGATCTCTTCTCTTTTTTTTTTATTCTTACTAATAGACAATACTCGTATAATTGTGTGTATGTACATGTATATATAAAGTATGGCTACAGCCGCTACATCTCTTGCCGATTTTCATCAAATGATAAAATTATTTGGTGCTGATACAGATGAAATGACTGGTGGTACAACAACAACAACAGGAACAGCATCAACAGCAGCAACATTTGTATCAACAGATGAACTTGATGATGATGAAGAAGAAGATGATAATGAAACTGAATTACAACTTGATGAAGAATCACCAAATTCAAGTGGTGGTGAAGAAACAATATCACATTCATCAATAGCAACATCATCAATTCAAACAAATAAAGATGATCAATCATCAACAAAACCTATATCATCAGCAGCTGCAGCTGCACGTTTATCACGTTTAGCAAATCAACGTATTGATTCAAATCGTTTTTTAATATGTTCAGGAACAAATTCTTATAATACAATACGTAAAACAAAACATGAAGTAAGACGTTTTGCATTATACTTAGAAGATACATTCGGTGAAAATTGTCCTATTGATGAATTAGAACCGGAACAATTATGTACTTATTTAAAACATTATTTTGGTAATGTTCGTAAAGCTGATAATACTGAATATGAACCTGATACATTGAGAAGTTTTATGTTATCAATTGAACGTTATTTAAAATCACGAAAATATTCATGTAATATACTTGAATCACCTGTTTTTACACCATGTAGAGAAGTTATACAAGAAAAACGTGATACATGGGCAAAACCAAATAAAAGTGTGTGCAATTCTAAAGTTGAAGCATTTACATCTCAACATGAAACATTATTACGTAAAATGAATATTATAACACGTGATACACCAGATGGTTTATTACTTGAATTATTAATAAATAATTCAAAATATTTTGATCAACGTGGTTATGAATCAACAATAAATCGTTCATTATTATGGGGTGATCTTGAAATAAAAACTGATTCAACAACATCAATTGAATATATTGAATATAAACGAACACCACCAATATCAACAAATAAAGATTCAACAACAAATGATATACCAATAACGAATTTACGTGCTTATGCAATATCATCACATCCAAATGAATGTCCTATTGTTGCATTACGTCTTTTATCTTATCATCGTCCACCACAATGTTCAAATGCTGATGCACCATTTTATCTTGTACCACGTACAACAGCTGATCAACGTGTTTGGTATAAAACAATACGTGCTGGTCGTCATCGTCTTGATTTATTACTTCAACAAGCTATGCAAAAAGCTGGTATTAATGGAAAATTTTCTTGTATGAGTTTACGAAAAGGAAAAATAAAAGGTTTACTTATTCCAACAACATCATCAAATGTTACTTCCATTACAAATTTAGATAATTCATCAATTTCAACATCACCATCAACAACAATAATTGATGAAAAATCAAAAATTAACGCAATTTCACCATTATCAATAACAGAACAACAACAACAATTATCATCAACATTAAATAATCATAAACGAACAACAAGTTCAACATCAAATTCTAATTGTTCAGAATTACTTGATTTATCAGCTCATAATAATAATAACAATAATAATAATGGTGTAATTAATTTAGCAAAAAAAATTAAACGAGAATCAACACCACCATCACTTTTATTACCAATGCCATGTTCTGTATTGGTTAGACAAAAGTTTTTTTTTTCTCTCTTTTATCTATTTTCCTTTTTTTTTTGTCTATTTAGAATAATGGTACAAATTCTAATCATCAACATTTAACATCAATGCTTCCACTTCAACAACAATCACAAAATCATCCACAACGTCCACTTGTTACTGCTGATGATTTACCATCATTAGTTGCTCAAACACCAACATCAGTATCAATATCATCCAATAATAATAATAATAATATTAATAATAATAACAATAATAATAATAATAATAATAATAATAATAATAATGATAATAATAATAATAATAAACGTAAATTAACATCACATGATACATTTACAGCACTTTATTCAGCGGCACATTTAAAATCATCAAGACAATCAAAAATGAATCTTTTACGTAAATATCTTGAAGAAACACTTGGTCTTGTAGAATTTCTTACATTATATGAATATTTACGACGTAATTCACATATTAAATTGCAAGGTACACCTATTGAACATTACGAGCATGTTTTACCTGTTTTACTCACATTACTTATGCTAGAAAATACAGCATAAAAAGCTTTTGTTTTTTTTTCCCTAATCGAGTTCTTATTTGTTTTGTTTCCTTCTGCTTTATTATATTTGAATTTCAACCAAGAAATCCATTCCACTCAGTCAATTGTTCTCAAGTGAAATGATCATGCATGTATGTGTTCTTCTAGTCGTTCTTTTAATCCATTTTTTTTTGTTCTTTTGTTTTTTTTTTTGTCTTCTTGATTTTTATCAAAAAAAAAACTCTGATCTCAATGTCTTATTTCATTCCGATGTTGTCTTGTGTTCCATTTTGTTGTGTCATTCCAAATCTTTTTTTTAAAAAATATGTCTGTGTATGTTTTCTTTTTTTTTTTTGGTTTTTTCATATTTCTTTTTCTTTTTGGAGCGGTGTGTGTGAGAGAATGAATGAATGATGTGATTTGTATAGAAGAAAACATTTCTTTGGAAAGTGTGGAGAATGAAATTGAATAATATACATACCGTTGACAAAACCAATAACTGCACTACCAGCATTACGACCATCCATTTCACCAATTTCAATTGGTACTGAACTACCTGAGAAAGTAATAAGATAAAATAAGATTATTTCATATAAAAATGTATTCAAGTACAAAAAAAAAAATTGAACTTTTAAATTTTATGAATTTGATATATTATTTTTTTCTCTTCTTCGATTACATCAAATATCGATAACTAAATGCATCAGTTATGCACAAAAGTCTTGACATTTCATTTTTTTTTTTGATTAAGAAAAGGAGTTGATCTTTTAACTATAAGTCATTGATATATAGAATGATGTATGAAAGATCAGGGTAGAGTACGAATATTATTCAACAAAGAATATATTTCCTGTTTAATATAGCTTATTATTATCATTGATAAAAAAAATATTCATAAACAAAATCTGATTTAATAAAAATATTTTGTATAACATTAAATTATTTAACTTACAAAGAATAATATCAGCTCCACAATTTAATGCTCCAGTAATTAACATTAAAATTGAGTTGATTGTAATGCCTGCTTTAGCAAATGCTAAGAAGGAAAGAAGAGTACCAGCACTAAGTAATGTTTCAACACCTGCACCAAGACATCCTTCATTATTAAAGAATCTTCAAAAATGAAAGATATAAGAAAAAAAAAGAGCAAAAAGATAAATATTAAATTATAAAATAAGATTACCGTTTAAGAACATATCCAATTGTGGCACTTCCTGCAACTCCACCAACATCGAACATTGTTGAAAAGAGACCAGCATCAGATGTTGAATAATTAAGCTAAATGAAAAAGTTTCAATATATCAGTTTTTTTATTTTCAAAGAAAATAAAAATTAAATGCAAATTTACTTCTTGTTTTAAATATAAAGGAAGCCATAAATAAATTGCATATCGAACAACTTTTAAACAAAATACAGTTGCAGCTATTTCCTTAACCATTCTATTAAATAAATGATTAATTGAATATTTTATATAGATAAAATTATTTTACAGAACTTACGGTAAACGACATACTTCCATAATTGTCATTCTTGAACGTAGATCAGAAGATTTTGTTACTGATTCTATTTTAAATTGTATTTATTTTGCTTGTACTTTTTCGTTAGATAATTATTGAAAATTTATTTTTTACCTTTTCCTGTAACAGCTATATTTAATTCAGATGGTTCTCGAAAAAGAAAAAGAACCAAAAATCCAGCAATAATCTATACAGAAATTTTCTTTTAAATAATGATTAAAAAACTAAATTCATATAGAAATATTCACATACACAATAAATCGATGGTTGAAAATGAACAAAACGCCAACCATCTTTTCCTTGAATATAAACCTATCAAAAAAACAAATTAGAAAAAAAAACGTAAATAGATTTATATCCAATGAAAAAATTGCCTTACAGCAAGTGCAGTACCAAGTATACCACCAGCAAATGGACATGTACCAAAGAGACCAAATATAAAATTACGTTGAGTATCAGTTACCCAAGCACCAAGACCTTTATTAGCTGCTGCCCAACATAATGACTAAAAAATTCAGTAACGTTCTTTTAGGAAAGTCGTTATAAATTTTGAAATAGATTTTGTATTCTTTCTGTATTATTTACGAAAAACTTCTTTATTCAGATGGACAAACAATGACAACTATTCATCATCTTCTTTTTTCATATCAGTATTAGAAAGAAAAGAATAAAGAACTATAATATAGTTGTGTTTTTATTGTAATTTCTACATTGAAGAAAGTAATCCGATGATTATCGAAACATCTGAATAAAGAAGTTTTTTCATCTCTCTTTCTTCTTACTTGAAATGCACCATTTAGAAAAAGTAATAAAAGAAAAAGTCGATAATCACTCCACCATCCAAATGTAATCTAAATCAAAATAAATCAGTTGATAATCTATTATTTATCGAAAATATACCATTGCCATTCCAGAACCAATAAGACCATAGCCAAATGTACGTCGAGCACCATATCGATCACCTAATGAACCGAAAAAAGTCTATAAAATAATAAATGTATTAGATATATATGTATATGTATGAAATAGATTCTTTTTTATATTACTTGAATGAGAGCATAAGGTAATAACAGTGCTGTATCGAACAGACCCAATTGAAATTTTGACAAACTAAGATCATGTTCAAGATCAGTTTTAATCTATAGAATCAAAATAAATATAAAAATAAAACAAAGAAATATTTTATAACTTACTACTCCTAATGGTTTACGTAAGAAATAAGTTAATGCATAAGATATCCATGCAACAATAAATGAAGTCCAAAGACGATTTTGAACAGTAGACATATTATCTGTTAATCACTATGATGCAGATCACAACAAAATAAAAAATAATTCAGTCTACAAATAAACGTAAAATAAAAAAAAAGAATCTTAATTGTCTATTCAAAAAAAAAACAGATTTATTATTCATGCTAATTTTTTAAATAAAGAATGGATTATTCCATAACTATATAGGTTAAAAAAATTTTTATCTGTTATGATTATTTAGTTATTGAGCATATGCATTATTGTGCATTGTTATAATTAATAATGTGAATATACTACCAGCTACTATCAATTGATCCCATTTGAAAGAAAACTATCTGTTCATACAAACACATAAAATCCATTGAATTCGTTCATATGTTTCTTGTTCGACACGATTGAATCATAGATTGTCATTACTAAAACGATAGAAGATTGACAATTCGGAAAGTTTTTTTTTTTTTTTGACTTTAAGTTATTAAAAAAAAAAAAGCTAATGATCCCAGACAACCTTTTCAGAGCAACCGACAATGCTTAAATTCATATTTTATATTTATCGGTAGATTAATTACTATTTACCTTGCAGTTATTTGATACTGGCTTTTTTTCATTCCTTAACCAAACTATCGATCTCTACTTTTTTTTAAAGTTCTACATAGTTAAAACTGTTTTATAACTAACATATCAATGTCAAATTTGATTTAGAATATAAGAGAACGGTTTTGATTAGAGCTAAGTTGTGACATATTTTTAATATTTATACACAAAAAAACGAACTTCCGATGCGTCAGATGTTTTTTTTTAAATGGATCTAGGTCCATTATTATTCGCAGACACAATTAGTGTTTACACAAGCCCAACATTCTTTCGTAGGTCACAGATGCAACGTGTTTTACTTGATCAGTAACATAAATATGTGAAAACAATCTCGGATAATAATATATTTCGAAACATCAAGGATGCTAATTGATAAAGATACAACAAGTCAGAATATAAAAGTTTAGGCATTCAAATAATTCATTGTATATTATGAATAATACATGTGTAGAAGTTATATTGAATAGTAAATAAAAACAAATATCTTCTGAAAAATAAATATTAGAAATTAAAATAATTGAAATACTCTGATGCTTGAAAGACATCTATTTTCGTCTAAGTTTTTTAAAAATAACTATCAAATTCATCGTTTATTTGTGACGACGTTATATTGATCAAATAAAGGCCTACAATAAAAGATTCATCTTTTTATTTCTAATTTAAATATAGAATTTGTATCATCAAGAATTGTATTTTTGAATAAGAAAAACAAAAATTAATTAATAAATTCATCCTTTTCTTTTCTTTTCTTCTTCTTCTTGATTCCATTATTTTGAAAGCTTTCTAGAGTACAAAAATTAAAACAGGTTTTTATATAATTAAAAGAAAAAGTATAAAAGAATGCAAAACTTCTTATTCTTCATCGTTCCAGGTCCTCATACACTACCGATAAACAATAATATAAACCAACTTGTTTTTTCAATGTTATCAAAAATAAAACTATTATATATGTATTAATAGAATAACTTCAACATCAAACTGTTCGACAGTAACCAAACAATGGAAACTACATGACATAGAATGAAAAAAAAAGTGTTCACAACCTTACATCTATTAGATTGGCACATAAGTTATGAGCGTTTGGATCAGTAGAATTATATCGCCAATATAAAACTACATTTTAAGGCAAGTAATTATATATTTTGATAGAGCTCGGAATTCTCTATCACTCTGTGTATTTAAGACTTGACTTGCATTTATTTGCTGAAAAAATACTTTGAATACAGTGAAGACACCCTCAGATTCCCACGAACTCCATTTTTTGTTCCTTTCTCATGTGTTTCTAAAATTTTTATCTTTACAGTAATTCGGCTTTTTAGAAAAGTAATTATATATTGTGAGAGCTTTTGAAAATGCTCTATCGCTCTGTATATTCAAGTCTGACTTGAACTTATTTGCTGAAAAATATTTCGAACATTGTCAATACGAATGAGGGTGTCTTCACTGTATTCAAAATATTTTTTCAGCAAATAAATGCAAGTCAAGACTTAAATACACAGAATGATAGAGAATTTCGAGCTCTGTCAGAATATATAATTACTTGCCTTAAAATGTAGTTTTATATTGGCGATATAATTCTACTGATTCAAACACTCACGACTTATGTGCCAATCTAATAGTAGCATATCACACAACAATTGTTTCCCTTGAATTTTTAATAT